TTGTTTAACCTGAAGAAGAGAAGGCTGCGAGGGGGCCTTATAAATGCTTATAAATATCTGAAGGGTGGATGTCAGGAGGATGGGGCCAGACTCTTTTCAGTGGTGTCCAGTGACAGGACAAGGGGCAACGGGCGCAAACTGAAGCACAGGAAGTTCCATCTGAACGTGAGGAAGAGCTTCTTTAGTTTGAGGGTGATGGAGCACTGGAACAGGCTGCCCAGGGAGGTTGTGGAGTCTCCTTCTCTGGAGATATTCAAGACCCGCCTGGACGCAGTCCTGTGCAGCCTGCTGTAGGTGACCCTGCTTCGGCAGAGGGGGTGGAATAGATTCCAACCCCGAACATTCTATGATTCTGTGCCCTTTGGCATGGCAGGCCAGGCTGCAGCCCTGTCAGAGGATTGCTGTGCTAGTGGTTGAAATCAGACAGATGTTTGGCTTTGCGCTGTACCTGGTTCTTTTGGGCTTACACATTGCAAAAGGTAACTCTCTTCGCTCGTCTTCTGATGCCAGGCAGCTTTTCAAGCAGGCGTATAGTTCCGTTACTCTCCCGTCAGCGATTTGAAGCCAGGAGGTGTGCAGGTACGCTCAGCGACAGGCTTCAGTTAGTACAGCTGCGAAACATGCAGCCAGGGCTCTGCTAATTGTGCAGAGAATCTTGTTCAAGATGTTACTGCTCCGATCGCCGGCACAGCGTGACAGTCCTTGTCGCAGGCAAGGGGGCAGCTGCCGGCTCCCCGGTGCTGCAGGCCGCAGTCCCACACGTTAGCACAGACTGCTCTTGCTGGGGCTCTAAATGTCGGTGCCAGGCTGCGCTGCTGCGGCGGGGTGACGTGCTGCAGGCTGCCCTGCTGCTGCCGGCAGCAGCGAACAGTAATGTCTCAGCCCCCTGCCACAGTTTGCTTGATGAACTGGAGAAAGGGAGGGGGTTTGTGCCCAGCCCCACTCAGTCTCGCTTGCCTTGGTGCGTGAGGCTGCGCAGATGTGTGACCGGGCACTGGTAACGGTTCACATGGGTTAGGAATTTCTGTGGCAGCTGTAGGGACAAGTGCAAAGCTGAGTCTGTAACTGAATCTGCCTGAGCCTCTGTCTACTACTTGCATTACATATGCAATCCATGTTGACACAACACTAACATGTGTGAAGCGTTTAAGAGGTAGGGATCAAACGTGGTGAAATTTGCTTTCGTGGCAGTAGTTTGCTTCCTTGCATTTAGTCGTGACAAGGGAGTCTGGGTTCTGGCTTTCAACTCAAGCTGAGACCTGCTCAGGTAACGTGCAGTGAATCAACTTTTCCTGATTGCAGCAACTTGCTATCTTGTCGGAACTGGGAAGGTGGGATGCGAATGAGTTGGGATTACGGAGAAGGACAACTGCATGGATCCAGTGCAGCCTTAGATGAAGGCTGCCCAATAATATGATAAGCTGACTGAGAACTCGTGCAATGTGCAGATGAATAAAAAAAGTGTGTAAGATTATCAAATCTTGCAAAGGAGGCAGTGGAGGGAGGGAAAGCAGACCTGTGCTTTAAATGACAGCAATTAGATCAGATTTAATAAGATACTGTGAAATGGTACAATTAAATTATGTCCCTTCTTCCAGAAGATGCTATTAGAGTCTAATCAGATTATGTAGATCACTTTCACTATTGGTTCTGAACTGCACATAGCTTAGTTTCTGAGCCTTAAGATTGGTTCTGTGATTTACAAAAGTATTGCACATTTAGGGCACTCTTACATGTGCATTTTTTTGACAACAATTTTCTGGGCTGTTTTTTCCTGCATCTTTCCAGTTCTTAGACAGCTGAAGAGATGCAACCAGCGAAAGAATGGCATTAGGAAGTGATCTAGTGGAAGATGTCCCTGCTCATGGCAGGAGGGTTGGAACCAGATGATCTTTAAGGTCCCTTCCAACCCAAACCATTCTATGATTCTATCTTGAGACCTAGCCACAATTGTACTGGTTTGGAGAAATGGCGTTTAGTTAGATAATGACTGAGGTGGGACATGGATGGATTGAGAGTGGCTTTGAGCAGCTTTGCTGCCGAGAAAGGTTTCCATGAAACCAAAGCTGTAACCTGCCTTAGAGCAATCAAATTTTCCTCAGTGGGAGAGAAAGAGAATACTTCAAACTCTGTAGGTTTTCATTTGTTTAAATGCAGAAAAAAAAAAAAATTATCGCAAACTCTTTGGAAATAGCTAGAAGATGCTAATCTGGATGGATTTCTGCCATAGTTAAGTTGAAATGACATAAACTGAATTTACCATGCCATTGCTGATTGCAGTTACTAAACTATTTTATTTTTAGGTAACTGTAGGCCGAGGATTAGACCTCACGTACCAGCTGCTGTCAAAAACCTGTCCCTTGATGATCTCTCGCAAGCACTGTGTTTTCCAGCAAAATGCAGAAGGGCAGTGGACTGTCAAGGACAACAAGGTACAGAAACTAATTAAAGACGTTGTACTTTGAGATTCACTGAAGAGAGTGCCCTGTTTGGGCTCAAGCAATGAATGGGCTATGATGGTATAAGCGTGATAGAAGGTCCATGGGAATGTGTCTTGCCTGTTGCACACTTCCAGCAGGAAGCTTCAGTCTGCTGCAGGTGGGATGCAAACCTGGTTGCTTTCTGTTTGTAGATTCGTCTCTTGGTTTACCATTTTTCAGACAATTGTAGTCTCACCAAGGGGGCTTTGCCATCTGTGAACCTGTTTTGTGTTAAAAAAAAAAAAAAAAAAAAGGAAAATGTTCTTGTACTGCTAATGAAAGGATAAATTGATACTCCTTATTGTGTTGACACAATTGCTTTAATTGTAATCAACTACAAGAAGTATCTATTGTTAGAAAAAATGTGCTTCATGTTATGTTCAAATGAATTTCATCTGGAAGTCCTCTTCAGCTGATTAGAAGAAAGTGTTGAGATTGGAGTCCTCAGCTGGGTCTCAGTTTGACTACAGTAATCTGTTTTTTCTGTCATGATCTCTCCACTTTCTCATTCAGGTCGAAAACTAAAATCAGTAACTTGCTTTAAAACAGCACGGTCAGAACAAAAATATTCATCGTGTTGTGCAGATTTGAAGTATCCTTGGATGCTTGGGTCAACAGCAGATTAGTCGGAAAGGAACTGAGCAGCTATTAAAAATGCATCGCTCTTAAACAAATCTCTGTTGCAGTACTTGTATAGACTTGAAAACTTCGAGTTTTTGCAAGATTGGAAGCATCTATGGTAGATTAGCTACTGACACTTCCTCTGTGTTAGCACTGGTACCATTTTGTCAAGTTGTTTTGTTGAATCTCTCTGAGATGCATCAGTTGTTAATGATTCTGCAGTTCACCTTGAGCACAGCTCAGTGTTGCTGTTTTTCAAAACTATTTCTTGAGCTAGCGTCGAATCTAAAAGCCCTTTTTTCCCCTTTGAACATTATCTCTGGAAGAGCATTTTCCTTCTTGTTTATATTCTACCTGTATTTATGGAGAACTGTCTCTTTAAGCAGTATAAGCTTTTTCTTTTCTAGTTTATTCTTGAATTTCAGGTAATTTTCAAGAATAATTACTGCAATCTTCTATGTTCTTGACAATGATCGGTTGCGGAGTCTTTTCTTGTTAGTTCTTACTTCTGAAGCTTTTGGGGAGTTTTTTTCTTCTTAGAGTTCATTCTTTTCCTTCTGCACAAGTGCATATACTCATGTTGCTCCTAGTGCTTGTACACAAGATCTGTAATGCAGGAATAATGCATGGTAAATAATATAATGCAATAACTGTAACGAATGGGACACTAAACCAACATATAAGCCAATAAATTGGATATTGCAAGGTTTATTTAAAGAGGTGACTTTTTCTGAGTGCAACACTGAAGAGGTTGGATATGTTTACAGTTGCCAGAAATAACTTGCAGAGGACTCTG